CAAGCCACGGGGCCGGCCCAAAGGCTGAACAATTTTGTTTTTTGTGAGGAAGATCGGCCCTGAGCTAACATCTGCCAATCTTCCTCTTTTTTTTTGCTGAGGAAGACTGGCCCAGAGTTAACATCCATGCCCATCCTTCTCTTCTATGTACCGTTTTAAAATAATCATCCTGAATATTCCTATCTTATCTGTCCAACCTTATTTTTCACTGTTCTTTCCCATCATGCTGTTCTCCTTACTAAATTGTACAATGCATGGTGAATAGTCAAAAACGGATCTGAATTGGTTCTCTCAAATGGCTGATTAAGGAATGTGTATGGGTGACAAATTTTTTTCTTGCTTAGCTGGAAGCAGGAAAGTTCTAACCTTTTTGACCTCCTGCTCTAAGATTCATCACCCTTCTATAATTGGGGCTATTATGAGATGAGCTCTGGATCCTTCCAGAAACCCAGACATAATTTGTATGGTTAAGTATCATAGGTCCGTGTGATCCTCCAGAGTAATTGGAGGTGTCCAGGTGTAGAGGAGCCTCTCCAGGGATTGATCCTGCATCAGGTCTGGGAAATCTCCTTCTGAATACAGTTAAACTCTTGTGTTTTCCTGGGTACAAGAACAACTTTAGGAGTTCCATGGCAGACCTTTTACGTTTAGGTTTCAGTTTTAAAATTCTATATGAAAATTAGTCATGAGTGTATTTCTTACCAACTCTTCATAAGACATATATCTAACATAGTGATGTTTTTCCTTTCCACCAGGTTTTTGCTGAAGAGGGCTTAAAGCTTGCTTCAAGTGTACAAACTTTCTCAAAACAGGTAACAGAGGTCTACCTCTGCTGGTGGTGAGGTCAGGAAGTCCCACTGTGGGGCTATATTATTAAGGTATAAAGGTATTTAAGGTTTAAAAGATGGAGTTTTGTTGGAATTGTTATAACTTCCTGAATTACATTTCAGCTGAAAGATGATGACAAGCTTATGCTTCTCCTGGAAATAAACAAGCTAATTCCTCTATGCCACCAGCTCCAGACAATAACTAAGACACCTTTGCAGAATCAAGTGTTTCTAAAGGTAAAGGGAAGGGTGGGTTATTCAGGTAGACACTTGAGAAACTTGCACACTTCTTTCTTTATCAGGTTAGCTTCCCGGCCCTTTTTCTTCAAATAAAGTGTTGATACCCACCCAAGGGCAATTTATTTCCGTTTTTCATTCCGTGACTGTAGGAATCATTTATTATCTGCAGTTATAACTGACCCCAGGGAGCAGTAGGTTCACCAAATAAATTAGCTTTCTGGACATGATTAGTTCCGCAGCACTAAGCAGCTACCTGAATCCTGACGTCATCACACGTCTAACTGGGGCACAAACTCCACCGAGTATGGGCTCCTGTTTTTTGTTTTAGGGAATTTGAGCTAATGCCAACAAGGTATGCAAAGTAGGGGGTTCACTCCACTGTTTGGATTGCTTTGAGAAGCCCCTAAATAGCCCAAAGTAGCACAGGTTGATTTTCCATCCATTCTTCCTGGGTTTCCGTGAAATAGACATGAGACCTGGGCAGCAATCCCTGCACCTGTGTTCCGGGGCCTCAAGTCAGCTCATGTGCCCTAATCTATATACCTTTCAAGATCCCTTAGGTTTCCATAATGGAGAAATTTTGTCATTTTAAAACTAAATAGATGATAGTCTTTTAAAGTACCCTTTGTAAAGGAATTTGATTGGCTTGCTTTCTGTCACTATAGGTTGATAAGTGTATTACAAAGACAAGATCCATGATGGCTATCTTGGTCCAACTTCTCTCACTTTGCTATAAACTGCTGAAGAAGGTGAGATAGTTTTTCTATCTTTAACTTACATTTTAAAAACTGGTTCAAAGGAAAAGGCAGAAGAAAACAGTTACTATTTAATTTTGCAATTTTTATTTTGAGAGTAAAGCAGAAACTAACTGTCTTAACTCTTTCCAGCTTCAGATGGAAAACAACAGATGGGTCTCTGTTACAAATAAAGACTCCGTGGATGGTAAAACTTGAGAAGCTCTTGGGGTCGGATCTCTGGAACATGTGGCAAAGCTGACATTTTTAGAAAGCAAATGATACTTTATATTTTGAGAAATTCAACAATTTTATAAAGAAAACAATACTGAAATCTTGCTTTATTTTCTGATCATGAAACTGATTGTGATGCTTTCTGACAACTAATGCATGCCACGGTAGTTGCTAGATTCCTAATTGCAGTGTGATTTTAAAATGGGACGTTGCCGCTAATGTTCTTTAAAAGTCAAACCAAATATTCCAACTGTCTTAATGACAGTTTAATCCAAAGAAGCTGTTTTGAATATGTGCTCACCTTTGGCATATTTTATCTTAACTTCCTGTTTTCTTTTTCTGTTTAAGCTTATCACCTAGAACACTGATTTTCAGCAGAAAATATACAGTAGCCTGGGTGAATGCAGGGTTTTCCTGAAACCCATGGACTCTTCTTCAGTCCCTCTGTCCACCAATTGTGACCAGGCCTCTTTGCTGTCCCCTCTGTCACAGATCATCCATGTTGGTAGCACGCGTTTGTTCTCTAACAAGCGTTTCACATAGCACAGGCTGTCTGTTGGGAGGCGTGTCCCTCTCCCCTTCCCAAAAGCAAGGTCATGGAGCTCACTCCATGGAATCCTGGACCTCACTCGGTGATGGCTTTTAGTTCTCATTCTAGCATAGCCAGCCTGTCTGCCCCGAATATTAGCTGGAATTCTAAGCCTATCTTACTGGTTTAAAAATTATTTTTTGAACTCTCTTTCTCAGTAGTGACTGATGGGATGGAAGATAATGATGGAACTAAGAAGCTGTTTAAAATAAATTCAAATAATCATACATTGTATATATGTGCCTTTGGAATGTTCATTATAAAACAAACATCTTTCTTTAGTCTTTTTAATTTCAGGGTTTAAAGCTTTTGTTTTTGTTTTGAGATGGGGTTTTTATTGAAGGATCTGGTTCATAGGTTCCATCCTTATGACATAGTGTGGTAAACTTCGTTCTGAACTCTTGGTAGTGCTTGTACCCCAGTGCTTTGAAAGTCATTTTGAAATTTAACAGGACATGTCAGTTGCCAAATGGCAGTAATTTTAGAAGCTTGTCTGATGATCATTATCTGGCTTAGCCATCACAATCAGTATTCACAAGACCCTGAAGAACCACAGTACTACCAATTAGCTAGTTAATATTTTATTGAAGGAAACTTGAACTTACTATAGGCCTCGGGGAGAAAATGGGATGCACTCAGCTTGGTTGATGACCTTTATAAAATACTGCTTCTATAAAAATTATCAAGCATGATTTTTATTCCCTGAAACCAAAATATTCTTTTAAATTACAGTAGAAATAATGGGAGAATGTGAGGTAACGTTATATGTAAAATAGATATATTTTATGACATCTTTGGTATCATTGTTTGTGCTACTTGAAATGGGGATCTGCTGGTTTGTGCTTACATTTTCCATTCATAGCACTGTCAGTGTAGATGTTTGTAGTTACTACCTATATCATGTCTGGTGCGTATATTTAGAGGACAGTCACGCTGGCACTCAAGTTACAATAAGTTTTTCTTGTGAGTTAAGATTTTATTTACAAAATACTTTTACATACCTGAAATAAGAATATTCTTTTGTTTAAGTGCAAGTCGGGGTGGGGAAGGGATAACTTATGACTTCAGCAGCATAAGATGATAGAGAACCAAAGGAATTTACACATCAAGTCATTTCTTCTGTATTAAATAATTGCTTTATTTAAAAACAGAGATATTTAAATATATGTATGTGTTGCAGCCCTTAAGGAGGAATAACAATTTTAAAAGTCATTTTATTTAAAATTCAATGTAAGGAAGTATACAATCTTAACCCGTAAAAATTCATAGGATTTTTTTTTTTTTTTAGTTTAAATGATGTGAAAGCGTTTGTTCCATTCAAAGGCATCTGTCTATGAATTACAGTAACTTCTTTGCTGGTTACCCTGTGACTAGAGCATGAGACTGAGAGACTACAATGTACATATTGGCAATAATCAGCTTAACACTGCATTATAATACTTCCACGTGTTACAAAAGCCCTTTGTATTTTTCTTTTTTTCTTTTATTGTGGTAACATTGGTTTATAACATTATGTAAATTTCAGGTGTACATCATTATATTTTGATTTCCGTATAGATTACATCATGTTCACCACCCCAAGACTAATTATAATCCACCACCACACACATGTGCCTAATCATCCCTTTTGCCCTCCTCCCTCCCTTTTCCCCTCTGGTAACCACCAGTCCAATCTCTGTCTCTATGTGATTGTTTGTTGTTGTTTTTATCTTCTACTTATGAGTGAGCCCTTTGTATTTTCCAAAGTCTTTTCATGTGTCCCTCATTTAAGAAGCCACAATGTTAACAGTTCTACATTGTTTCAGAGAAGAAGGCCATCCCAGCCCATAAGAAGTAGAGAAGGTACACTCTACAGTCTGCCTCTCCCCTGCAACCTAAAAGGAGAGGAGTTGGGGCAGAAGGGATGGGACTAGACTTTTTGGTATGTCACACTGAAGCAGATTGGGTAAGAAAGGCCAATTAGGTTTTTTTCAAAGTTCAGACTGATGAAAAATTGAGGCAAAAACAATAACCATCCCATAACATTCAAACAGAAGTATGTCAAAATGTAGTATTTACTTCCAGGTTGCAGGATGATGGGTAAATAATTTTTACTTTGCTACTTAAAACTTTTCTGTCTTTTCCAAATTTTCCTCAGAGTGCTTTGTTTTTTGTTTTTAATCAGAAAAACATCCCTTGCTTGCCAGTTGTTAGCAAGAGAGAAGCAAGAGAACAACAGAGTGGGTATATGAGCAGGGCAGATCCATGAGATTGAAGACAAAATGGGAACCAAGGCTTGTTACGCAAGACAAAAGGAAAATTAGTTTAAATTTTAAGATCAGGCCTCCCTGCGGATCGCTGGGTGTATGTGTATGCTTCACATATGCTGGTTCGTTAGTGCACTGATCCTTTAGGCCAAGAAAGGATAAGAATCCCATGTTGCTTTTTATTCCATCTCAATCCTCATGATGTAGTTGCTGTGGCATTAATGCGTTTCACCACGAATTCTTCATACTGCTTTTGTGTGAGTAACCCTTCTGTTATGCTTTTACTTTCTTCAAATTTGGGCAACACAACTGCAATGTAGCCTTCGGTGGATGGCTAAAAAGGAAACAGAATATTCAATACTGTCAAATGATTAAAAAATCAGATAAAAAGAACATGGATGGAATCATAGTTTTTCCCTCTCTTTTACCTTCTCTTGAAGAAGAGATGGTTTATGGAGAATGTTTTCATTCACTTCCATCAATCGTCCTCTAACACAGCTATTAAAAAAAAGAATTTTTTTGAAGAAAACATATTACCTCCTTTGCTTCTTCTAAATTGTGGTTAAAAAGTAACTCACCTAGATATGGTGTATTCTTCTCCATCTGAGCAGTAAATCTTACATAGCGGTGCAAGTTCTGTTAGAAATTGTGCCCCCTGATAATAAAAGGGAAGAAGTAATTAATTGATGTACATTTTCACTTTCCTTTGAGAGGCAGCCCTCAGTGTTATAACAGGATATATTCCTGGAACTGGTGTTTTAAATAAAAATGAATTAAGTATAGAAAAACCATTAATTTATTCAAACATTCCTATAACAAGTGCTCCTATGTGCCAGGTACCATCCTAGGCTCTAGCGAAAAAAGCAGACTAAGACACGTGTGATAACAGATAGTTTAGTTATAGAGTAAGAATGTATTTTATCAACTGTAAATGAGAAAGCTACATATAGCCAAGTGTAAAGATTTCAAAAGTGTAGGAAAATCCATCAATAGGCAATAATATAAAATTCAACATGACAGAGTGACAGCAATATTGTACAAAGTTAGTTTCATTAAGCTTCCTACTTTATTTTATATTAGAACTTAATAGACAAAGGAACTTCTTTATTAGGGTCAATCAGGAAGACTTTTTAAAGAAGGGATATTTTTCTAATTAAGACTTTGAGGAAAATTTGGAAAACAGAAAAGTTTTAAGTAGCAAATGAGAGTAATTTACCCATTATCCGATATCCTAGAAGTGAATACTACATTTTGACATAAATCTGTTTGAACACTATGGCATGGTTATTGTTTCATGTACTCTACTATGTGGATGTACCTGGGGAGGTTCTGACAAATATCTACAAAGAGGCTCAGAGGAAACTGATGCAGGCATATCTCATGTGTTGTTCTCTTTTTTCCAGGACTTTTTCCTGTAGTGAACATTGGCCTTTGAGGTCAAGATGTTATTCTTTATGACCTCTTTATCATTCAAAAGATTATTAGAGGGGCCGGCCTGGTGGGCACAGTGGTTAAGTTCGCACGTTCCGTTTTGGCGGCCCGGGGTTTGCTGGTTTGGATCCTGGGCGCGGACCTACTCACCGCTCATCAAGCCATGCTGAGGTGGCATCCCACATAGAGGAACTAGAAGGACCTATGACTAGGATATACAACTATGTACTGGGGTCTTTGGGGAGAAAAAAAGAGGAAGATTGGCAACAGATGTTAGCTCAGGGCCAATCTTCCTCAACAACAACAACAACAAAAGATTATTAGACCACACTCAGATGTTACCACATCGGTTTCACTCCTCTGTTTGTGGGTTCTTCGTTTCAAAATATTAATGACACCCCACTTTTGGGAGGAGGGGCCAGGGATTCGTCCCAGAGGGTTTGTCTACCACTGGGTCTGTGTCAAGAGAGCAGAAGTGATTTGACCCCATTTTTTATCACCTCCTTGGGAGAATAAATGATTGGCAGTGCTGAGATCCAATCAAAATTTATCTGTGGTGGGTTCCACATGCAGGTCCCTCTCTGTTCTTCAGTAGTAACAATAATGTTACTATTTTGGACAAGATTTATCACAGGAACTTCACAAGCACTAACTGTTATACCTGTAGTTTGTAGACTTTATCTTTTAAGAAAGTTTCATGCTTTTCTAAGTCCATTTTTTTCCTGAGCAAGGAAAAATCAATAATTATAAGGCATGTTATTAGGGGATTTCAGGTCTACAAAGGGGAATATAAACAAGGGTCTCTTAGATCAGTGAGGGTAATTAGCAGAAACGCTTAGTATGAACTCAGTAAATGAAGGACCTAAATCACCCACTGAAACTTTCCTATCCAGTCGGTATGTCAGGATATTTTAGTATGGTACTGAATTATTCTTGGTGGGATACCCTCTTTTAATGTGTCTATCTTGCCTAGAATTGTAGAGGGTAGAGATAACATTTTGTACAACTGAGCACTGTATGGAGATAGAGGGTGCGGCTAGATGTGCATTAAATTGGCAACAATTAAGGAATGGAAAATGGTAAGGAGCAAATACTGTATTATTTTCTCAGATTGATTTTTTTTCACTAACTCAGGATATGTTTTTCTTTTTAATTTGTGAAAAATATATGGTAAAGAAGAGTTGGTCACTTAAATTTTATAGAACTCAAAATATTGGTTTAATAAAACTATAAGGGATAAAATATCTCATTATATTGGTATTAGAGTTGTTTTTTCAAAGGACTGCCTTCCCCATCCTCCATCCTGGGGATGACAGGGATGGTGGTACAGAACTTAATATAAGAGATACTATACCTCCTGAAATACCTCATTTTTTTGGTATGAGACTTTCTTTAGGGTTAAAGTATTCTTAAAAGCAGCACCTCAAACTGCCAGGAAGTATGCTGAGCATACACTACCAGATTCTAAGACTGACTGGATCTATCATTACTGTGATATAGAGGATTTAAGTAGAGAATTATAGGAACATACCCGCTTAAATTTCCCAGAGACCTTGTTCTGAAGTCTGCTACAGTTGGTACTGATTTGATAGGAAATGCTTTTAATTGTTTTTCCACTTTGAAGAACTGGATGAGATTCTGCCAATGTGATGACACATATTCTACAAGGAGCAAAAATTGATCCTGTATTACTGCTTGGTATAATTCTTCTTCCTAAAACAGTATTCCTACTGGCACAAGAGTATCTGAACTGACATTTGTTTAGTCAAATTATCATTTCCCCCATTTTCATCTGGCTACTATTGGAGTTTCACTGTAGAAGGGAATGCAATAATAAAAAGGAGAAAATGGGATTGAATATCCTTCCCAGAAAAGGGAAGGATACCAGAGGTCTTTAGGTAGCACTGAGGTAGGAGAGAGAGAAGTAAGGCATGCCTGTATGTACAGGATACCTATGCCTCTACCTAGCCCTCTCTATGGGCTCTGGTAATTCAGGGGGTAGGCAGAGGCCAGTTATTTCAGGTAGTGGCTGACTGAGAGCCAGCCCTGGTGGTCTAGTGGTTAAGATTCGGTGCTTTTACCGCCACGGCCCAGTTTCGTTTCCAGGTCAGGAAACCACACCACCTGCCTATTGGCTGTCATACTGTGGCAGTGGCTGTGAGTTGCTGTGATGCTGAAAGCTATGCCACCGGTATTTCAAATACCAGCAGGGTCCCCCTTGGTGGACAGGTTTCAGCAGAGATGCCAGACGAAGACAGACAGAAAAGAAGAAGGACCTGGCCACCCACTTCTGAAAAAACTGGCCATGAAAACCCTATGAATAGCCATGCAGCATTGTCTGATATAGCACTGGAAGGTGAGAGGATGGCATAAAAAGACAGGGCAGGGTTCACCTCTGCTGTACACAGGGTCACTAGGAGTCGGAATTGGGAATTGACTCAAGGGCACTAACAACAAGCTGACTGAGGGGTGTAGTCCTTTATTTGGATGTTTGGGTGATCAAGTTTAGAGTGAACAGGCACTGAAAGCCTCATTCTTGTCAACCAAACTCCTATAGTAATACCATTTTAACACAGTGGAAGATAATCATTTAATGAACATTTGTTCAAGCTAAGACCATACCAGCGTACGATATCAGAAAAAAAATTTTTTTGATAATCTAAAATTTCCCATTTACTTACCGGTTTGAGTGCTGTAGTATACAGTGGTCCTCACAGGGTTTTCCTTTGACATCTAGAAGAAGAATAAATATCTGTTGGTTGTTGAGTCAATATTTACTACCACTGTGTGGTACTTTCTTTGGTTCAGAGATAGTTAATTATGAAGATTAGACACATACTCATCACAGGTATCCCTTCATTACTCAAAAAGATAACACCTAAAGGCTTCCTATAAAGTGTTTAAAGGGACCTGGTCCAGATGGAATCATTCATTCAGTGTTAAAATGATAATAAACTCTGTTCCACCTTGCTTTATCCTCGTTAAAATGAGTACACTCATTTCTATTAGCAAAATGAGATTGATTGCAAGGCATTCTTTATATAATATAGTAGGATATGTTTTGTTGGTCAATTTGAGAGTGACATCCTGGTTTGTCTAGGGCTGTCCTGATGTTAGTGCTGAATGTCTCGGATTCCGGGAAACCATTCAGTCCTGGGTCAACTGGGACAGTTTGTCACCCAAAACTGGCTAATAAAACGTATGTTACAGTTAAAAAAAAACAGTACACCTATTATCCTTGAATGAAAGGGACAAGTAGGGGTTAGAGGAGGGTCCCCAACGATGCTCCCATCACTGATATTCACTTGGTACACAAAGCAGTACCACAGGATACTTCTAAGTGGCAACTGTATAATACCGGTGGCTTCTCTTTAGGTAAAGCTGTTAGATTCTGCTTTCTAAGGTCTCTATTCTAACCCACACTCTTCTCTCCATCCCTACTGCCTCTACCTTAGTTTCCAACTGATCATATAAATCATTTTATGTACCGTCATTTCCTACAGGATTGAGCCCCTCAAATCCCTTTAGGCACTCAAAAGAGGTTGCAATCCAGCCCCTGATTACCTCGGGGTCTGGCCTTAGACCACCACCCTCCCGCAAGAACCCACCCTTGAATTCGCACTGCCTTCGCCAGCCCCAGGGAGCACCCTGCGGTATTGCAGGCCTCCAGGCCTTTGCAAATGCCATTCCCTGGGCCTAGAAGGCAACAGAGTGGTCCGGTTCCTTCTGACGTGGGGATGAAGCGCCGGGGAGAGCGCGCGTCGTTTACAACTGTCACCATAGTCCCCAGAACATGACGCCAACGTGGCCTAGGGGAGATCGGCATCATTATTCACTTACCTGCTTTGTACCAGCGAGTGAAGTAACGATCCACGAGCGACGGCACCGCGGGCTCCGCGGCCACCGGCTCGGTAGTCATGGCGACCTCGGTCGCCGGTACCCCCGCCCTCCGGGTCCCCAGCGCTTCCTCTCTGCAGGCCTGGGAAGAGGGTGTCCTTCCGGCGCGCGGCCCGCGGCGTGCGCACGCGCGCTGCTCTCCTGGCCCCGCAGGCTCCGCCCACCAGCGCCAATTACTGCACTGTGCTTTGAGGTCTACGTCAAAGCGGGAATCAAATACAATAGGCTGAGGAGGAGGGCGGAGGGACAGTGGGCGGTGGCCAGCGCTGCTCTTCACCTCTACCTTGTGGGGGCTACCGAGAAGGCCGGCCACGCCCCCTCCGCCTCGTGACGTCACTCCCGCGCGGCGCGGCGCGTGTCCGGCCTACCTCTCTAGCGCGTCGTTTTCGCGCCGGCCGCCCCTCAGCCCGGCTTCAGCCACTAGCCGCGGGTGTCGAGCGGCCCAGCGGCCCGGTGGCCCAGTGCGGGCTGCGAAAGCCTTCGAGCCGCGGACGGAGAGGCGCGTGCGCACCCCGCGCGGGCTCCAGGAGGCGGCTGCGTGGCCCGGGAAGCGACCCGGCGGAGGCACCGCTGTTTGAGGGTCCTCAGCGCGCGGTGCAGGTGAGCGTTCGAGGGACCCACGCAGGGTGGGAGGCGCGGAACAGGGCCCCGCCGGCCAGGGGGTGTCCTGATGAAGGGGACCCCTCCGCGCCCAACCTGCCTGCTGCGGGCCCGGGAGTGGAGTGTGGCGTGACCATCTCTGCCCTCGAGCCTCAAGTTCTCTTTCTGCGAACTTGCCACCTCCTCCACCCGCGGCCTCCCGGGGGCTCTGCGGGGCGCGGCAGGTGGGGGACATGCTGCTCCCGCTGCTGCAACCTGCTCAGCCTCTGGATTCCGTGCAGGAGTGGACCAGACCGCTGAACCAATTATGCGCCAATTAAAGCGAACCAATTAATGCACACTAGAAGGCGTCGGTTGTTAGAGAGGGGTTCGGATGCTGAGCTGCGGGTCCCTACTCGCGTCTGCGACTTTTTCGTGGAGATATTGTCCCCTGTGCTTCTCCATGTAATGTATGTTATGTGGCCCTCTCCTTCCTGAAACTGCGACCTCCGTGGAAGCAATGACTGTGAGAGTCGTCTCTTGTTTTCAGATCCTAGCACTTAGCAAGTGCTCAGTCGTTGTTTTATGTAGGTCACAAACCGGATGGTAGGATTAGCTACTGTGTAAAGGATTCAAACTGTATGTTGACAACCACAGCAGTAACCAATGAATAGTTGAATATGAAAGTGTGAGCCAAAGGGAGGCAAATACAATTTTCAGCTTGGGGGACAGGGAGAGTAGAAATGCCATCTCCCCAAATAAGGGAAACTTGTTTGGTGGGAGAATAGTAAGTTCTTCCTTTTCCAGGTTGCATTTGACGTCCTTGTGAGACATCCCTGGGATTACATCAGGAGTTGAAAATGTGGGTTTAGTGTTCATTTGGGGGAGGGTCAGGGCTAGACGTTTAGATCTAATCAGTGTATTAGTGATCTGCCTGGTACTTGTGGTAATGGGTATGATAAGTAGCCTAGAGGTGAGTGGTTGGAGGGAACAGGGAAGAAAATGGAGGAGGAGTTAGAAATTTTGGAGAGAGTCCAGGATTGATCTATGGTGTGGCGAGATCTTGAGCACATTTAAGGGCTGAGAAAAGTTGAATCATTGAGGGCAGGGGAGTTGGAGAGTGCAGGTGTAAAAGAAAGGGTACTAATAAACCGAGGTCCTGGGGGAGTTTGAAGGATACTCCTTTCCTAGCCTTGATAAAGGAGTGGGGACACTTCTGAGAAGATAAGAGAATAAGGATGATGGGTGTGAAAATTTAGAGAAGTTCGTTTTGAGGCTAGGAGAGTTGGAGAGGTGGAGATGACTGATGAGCTCACCTTGGCAGGTGATTTTGAAAGCTCAGTGATTTGAGAGCACAGGTTGTTTGTCAGTCAGGAAAGTAGAAACCACACAGTATTTCAACAGAATTTAATATGAAGAATTGATTAGCTAGCTAGCTAATGGAGGAACAAAAAGCGAAAGGGAGCAGTGAAGTAACATAAAAGGTAAACTGTCGGAAGTAGCTACAACACTTAGCTAGGGCTAGGGTTCAGAACGAGGGAAGACGTTGGGGTTATCACGACCTAACCTTGGAGGAGAGGCACTGTAAAGCTGGGACTTGGACTTCTGGTGTTGATACCTCCAGAATTCAGAGGAGAAGCCCCTTATTACTGGGGCCTGCTTGGTTAGTGCTGGTATCTATGGGGAACAACAAGCTAACAGGAAAAAGTGAGTCCTTCTCAAGTCCTTCTGCCTTTACCCTCCAGATTCTTATCCTGGGATCCATGGATGCCAGGGTTCCACAGGTTGTTAGTGAATAGAATCCAGGTTCATAGTGAGGGATGTGAAGACATTTTGATGATCTGATCTTGGCAACAGTAATAGCATGATTATTATTAGGTAAACCAGCATCGATGATGGCCAGGAAACTCGACACATCTGGCCTCCTGTTGCCTATCTGTTCTCATCTCTTGCTACTCTGTCCCTTGCTTACTGTCTAAGCCAGACATGCCAGGCATTGTTTCATCTCAATCTACCCATCCTTTCAGATCTGTGTCAGTAATTATCTCTATGATGTTAGAAGATGAAAGATGTAATTTTTATATGCTTGGAAAACCCTAACCTTTTTATATAGAATTAGATCTAAATTAAAAACGTGCATGGTATCATACAGGTTCAAATAATTTCTAGAAGTTCTTGAATATAAATGTCACCAAAGCTTATAAAACCATTATCTGCCTTTATTCTCTTCCTCACTCCCACCATATATGATCTTGCTTTCCTCTTAACCCACATTATATGTTGTATCATTCATGTTACACTTAACATTATCTGCTGTGTAGTATAAGGATTAATTCATCCTTATTCTTTCATTGTCATATGTGTGAAATGCAAGATGAGAGAATTCTCCTTGGATTAAGGTGACAATAAGGCCAGTGTGATCTGTGTAATTGCCACCCCTAACATAAGTTAGGGACTTCCAATTAACAACTGTAAAGGGATCTGAATATAAATATCCAGCACATTAACATTTATTTTTTCCTCTTAGATAACGTTATGCATTAGAGCAAGTTTGATTTTGCCAGACCAAAATAAGTTTCCTATTTATCATTCTTATCTCACCTTTTCTGTTGCGCTGGTAAAACCAGGCCGGGAAAGCGGAGTTACGTGAAGTAATGTTATCAGGTCATCAAGCTCCTCAAATGTTGGTCATCATTTTGAAGTAAACCATTGTAATTTCAGTGTCTTCTTTTCCTCCTGAGAACAGTAAATATTTTTCTTTACCTCTATCTTTGATTTCAATTTTTATTTTTTTAATGAACATATAAAGCCAGTTTATAAATAAATGTACCTGGTAGTATGAAAGTAATTTTATTCCAGATTTTCTTCAACTGCCAGTATATATATGTGGTTTTTTTATATGATTCTATGAATCTGTCAGGTTGTAAAGATATCCTCATATGCAAAAATAAAATATTTTTCCATGGGGGCCGGCCCCATGGCTTAGCGGTTAAGTGCGCACGCTCCGCTACTGGGTTTGGATCCCGGGCGCACACTGACACACCACTTCTCCGGCCATGCTGAGACCGCGTCCCACATACAGCAACTAGAAGGATGTGCAACTATGACATACAACTATCTACTGGGGCTTTGGGGGGAAAAAAAAGAAAGGAGGAGGATTGGCAATAGATGTTAGCTCAGAGCCGGTCTTCCTCAGCAAAAAGAGGAGGATTAGCGTGAATGTTAGCTCGGGGCTGATCTTCCTCACACGCACAAAAATATTTTTCCATTCATTTTGTTCATTTCACCTTACCTGAGGAATAACTGATATTAAATCTTTTTTGGAGAAAAATTCTGAAGTTTGACTCTTGCCCCTCCCAAAGAGTAAGTATGTAAAATAGATTTCAGATCCTCAATTTGTAGACCATAGATATACACAGTTGGTCTGGTTGCTACCAAACATCCCTGTGGGTTCAGATTAGGTTGTTTTTTTTTTCCCCTTGATTATTCTAACTACCACTTCCCTGCCATCTGAATCATTTCGCGTATATGAGTGTTGTTTATCACCATTATGCTGTTCCTTTCTCTCAGAGAAATTAAGGCTTTATCAAGGGCTATTTGTACTTTTCTCTTAGGAATCACTTCATCATGAGAAATCTAAAGTTACTTCGGACCCTGGAGTTCAGGGATATTCAGGCTCCGGGGAAACCTCAGTGCATCTCTCTCCGAACTGAACAGGGGACAGTGCTCATTGGCTCAGAACACGGACTGATAGAAGTGGACCCTGTCACAAGAGAAGTAAGTTATTGATGGAGAGTGCTAGCACTTGGCATGACCCTTGACTTGTCTTCTTCCAAACTTGCTTCCCCCAGATAGTCTTTACTTCAAACCTTACTGAATTCATGTCCTCCTAACTGAGCATTCTCTTTGCTTTGTATAGATGTCATATTAGACATAACTTAATAGTAACCTACCTTTAACTCTGCTTCTATTTTAAATCTAAGTTGGCAAAACTCTAACTTCCTATTTTGTGTGGGTGCCCCTACTGTTGACCTTTTCTGCCATGTAAATGCTGTTGCTAACAGTGGTTCTCAACTGGGAATGCAAATGAAAATTACCTGTTAAATGAAGACTGTTTCAGCCTGCATCCCATACCAACTAAATCAGAATCTTCACTGCTGGATCCCGAGCATGTATATATTTAAAAGCTCTTTGGATTGCTTCTGTCTTCCTTTAATTGTATTTTACTACTCATGTATTTTATGTAATTGCATTCTTAGTCCCTTTTCCGCATACTATAGAAATCTTAGAAAACCATAGTTATTAGCTTCCTGTTTTATTGGACATTTTTTAAGAGAACAGGTTTCTTTCTTTTGTTTAGTGTTTGCTTCGCAAGATGGTCACATTAACTATTTTTCTTGTTAAAGATAGTAGGGTTGTGATATTTCTCAAATGAAAGTTTGGATTTTAATTTGGAAAAAAACAT